CGTTAAGTATTTTTTATTGTATCCTTTTTCATTTAAAATTTTCTTCCTCTTTCCCATAAGGCATATCTCTACTTGATTACTGTATGAAGGAAAACTAAATTAAAATGAAAACTGTAGCCCTACTCCTTGTATATGATGGTTTGCATAATTATGAAATTCTAGCACATTTACCAATTCCTTTTTACATTTTTAGTGTTACTTTGTGTGGCTGCTACTTTTCTGTGTCCAATATTCTTCAGAGTTTTGCATATTATAGCATATCAGCTCAATTTTGTGGACAACAAGACAACAACTCAGATGAAACTCAATTACAAAAGTATGTGTGAGCAAAGCATCAATTTGCCCCCGTAGAATCTTGGAGTGTTTTAATTTTGTGTGCTCTTGTTTTGCTATTTGGGTCATTATTGAGTCTTTTCCTTCTGGTTTCAGATGTGTGTTAGCTGCTGTCATTTCCCCTCCCCAGAGACCAGACACTCCTGGTGGCCACCTTTTCTAAGGTTTTTAGAAAAGACAAAGAATAGAAACAAAGCCTTGACATTCATGGTTAACTACCTTCCTCTTTCTCTTCCTCCCTTCTTCTCTTTATCCTGTTTTCCTTTCTCCCCTGTACTCCTGCAGGGAAATTTTACCAAAACTGTACTTATTGCAATGTGTGTCTCTCGCTTAATGACCTAAGAAATTTCACTTCTTTTTAGTATCAGCTGAAAGACAAAAAGTAGAGGTATACATATGCAGGCACATAGTAGTTAACTTTTAAAAGTCAATTTAAACTTTCAAAGGGTATCAGGACTGTGGAAAATGAATTTTCCATGAGCACCCTCCTTTCTGGCCAGTCCCACCTGCCACCCCCAGGAAAGCCAACACAAAGCAGAATAGGGGACTCCCGATTTGGAACATCTTGGCTCTCATGCATCACACAGCATAGCTCTCATGCAAGCCACAGCCCAAGGGCAGGATGAGAGTCACATGTGCCTGGAATGCCCTGACTTGGGGTATGACAAACATCAGCAAGACAAACCGACCTTGGTGACATCCCGCACAGCCCATTTGGCTGATGGCACCTGCTACTCCCCCAGGACTCTAAGTGTTTGTGATACCAGGATGGAGCTCTGTCCCAGTCTGGCTAATTCACCTGCATGCACATGCTTGGGTTTCTAAGACTCCCCTATATACACATGCTAAAGTTTCTACTGTGAACTAAGCCCTAGAAAATCCTCAGAGGAGTGGTAGTCTGTGAGTAAGATGATTCTAAAAGAAACCTGAAAAGCTTGGACCACCATGACATAACTTTCTGCATTGATATTTTAGGTTTCTGTATAATATTAAGGATAATCTAAAAGGGGTTGTTGTGAAAACTCAATTGTCAACATTTTAAGCATTTCAAACAATATATTTACATATTTATATTTATAATGTCTTTAAGTTATTAAACATGTTTTTAAATGAAATATATTAATAATGAATATCTTTCATATGTTAAGTATGTTTCTCAACCTTAAATATACTAATATTTGGTATTTAGCATATTCAACATGTTTGTTTGTGTACATATGCATCTATTCTTACGTACATTTGCATACACAGACTTTACTGCTCCTGTTCTGGGCTCTGTGGCTGCCTCCTTTCTGAACCATCTGCCTGCCATGTTTTAGCTGCCCTTGCTGCCCCAGCTCTGCCCCCTGGCTACCTACCTCAAAGTCTGTGCTAGAGTCCTGGCTGTCTGTACATTCTCACTGGGGAGTCCTGGCTGCACACACATCCCCTGGGGAGGGACAGCTGATGGGAAGCCATGTGAAGGTAGGGAACTGGGAACTCTCTTCCCAAGGCATGGCTCTCTTCTCTTTTCTGCCTTTTTCTCACCCTCTGGTGCCTTTGGCAACTATATTTTGTGTTTCACTCTGAATTTGTCATTATTTTCTGTAAAAACATTGGCCCAGTTTAAATGACACAGATATCATCAGAAGTGGACAGCTGTGCTTTTCATGGACAGAAGGGTCAGAGATATAGAGGTCAGGGCTTGGTGGACAGGACAGGACTCTTCAGGGCCATCCATGCAGTGGCTCCCTCTTGCCAAGGAGAGGGGGACCAGCCTCACAGTCATGGCAGCTGGTGGAACCCTGGTTTAGGAGGGTTATAGTCTTTTCCCTGTGGCCATAACATTCTGAGCTTGTCTGTGGAGGATATTGGCAGGATAAGATAGTAATCAGATGTGAATTTCTAAAAAATTGTGACAGCTTCTGTAGAGACTAGGTGGAGGATGGACAGAAACTTGTTGGGAAAGTTTTGTTTTAGGAAAATGCTAAAAGGCAGTATTATGGCTTTTGTTTAAATTTCTCACCCAAAGCCTCTTGTGGTCATAGGTGGGCTTTTTCAGAAGTGGTTGGATCTAGAGTGTGTGAAGCTGCAATTGATTCATGGTACAACGCTAGGGTCAAGGGCACTAGGATTAAGGGTGTGAGTGCTATCTGCCCTAAGTAGCCTGTATAAGATATAAGTGATAGAAAGAGCTGTAGTTGGCCCTTGCTGCTTTATTACCTTCTGCCCACCATGAACTATTTCTCCTCTGTGATACCACCCTGCCTTAGGATCAGCAAATCACGGACTGAAATCTCTACAAACCATGAGCTAAATAAACCTTTCTTCCCTTAACTTTGGGTGTCAGGAATTTTTTCTAAGTAATGAGAGAAAAGTAACAAAGACAGAATTTAGTACCAGAAAAGTGGGGTCATTGCTGTGACATCACCTGGCTGTGTGGCTCGAGAGCTTTTGGAACTGGCTTGTGGGAAGGAGAAGAGTTAGGAAGGTTAGGAGATGTTGGCTGAAAAAGAAGAGCAGGCGTGCCTTAGGCTGTACGTGATGGGAGATTCTGGTCAGAGTTTAAAAGAAGAACAGAATGCTGATAGAAAAGTTCTGGTAAAACCAGGCTCAGGAAGTTTCTGCTGGGCAAAAGGACTGCATTGGGTGTTGTACCTTGGCAGAAAGTTTGCCTGCATTTTGCTCAGGTCCAGAGACTTTGCTGAGATTAAGATTAAGGGTGGCTGGCCAATTAATCTTGCAGAATAAATTTCAAGGCAGTCTAATGTTGAGGCGATGGCATGGCTACTGTTGGGGTTTTTAGCCAGATTTATGTTGAGAATGGAGGGCAAAGAGCCCAGTACCATGATTCAAAATGTGAGTTTGGCCAGAAAGGAAGCTCCAGTAAAGTTGCATCCTGCAAAGATGGAACAGAGGAGAATTGGTTGCTGAAAAGAGTAGCAAGGAAAAGCCAAGCATTTCAGAAGAAGACAACAGAAAAGATGGTCTGAGGCTATCACAAGAAACAGCAGAACTCCAGCCTTTGCAGCCTCAGGGTTGCAAAGGTGAAAGAATTTGCTTTGAGTAGAGAACCTCAGAGCATCATGTTCCAGAATGGCAGTGGCCTAGAGAATTTGTCCCTTAGAAATGGGTTCAAAGTGCTCAGTGATCCAGGCACTCAATCCCTACAACCAAAAAAGAAGGAAGCCTGGCTTCTGCTCTGGCTGGTGGCAGATCTTGGCATCATCCACATGGCAGAATGCAAGAGTTGTGGAGTCAGAAAGGCTTCCACTCAGATTTCAGAAGAAGGCCTGGGAGGGCAGGCGGTGTGCCCCTGAGAGGGCAGTGTGTGAAGCTGGGAGTGTGAAGCAAAAGTTGCAGTGGAGACCCCAGAAGTTTGGGGAAGCCAGGAATGTGGATCATCTGAAGAAAACTGCAAAGAAGAAGCAGAGAAGCCCCAAGAGAGAAGCCATAGAAGCTACAACCACCAGCAGTGCCATAGGGGCAGAGGCACCCAACCCCTTTGGAGTTCACAACTTGCCACAGATTGCCAGGGATGCTAGAAGTGGAACTGTGGAATTTAACATTTGCTCTGCTGGATTTAGATCTTGATTTGTTTTCATCCCTTGCTATCCTCCTGTTTGTAACTTTTGGAATGGAAATGTTCATCTTGTACCATTAATGTTGGAAGTGTTTAACTTTCTTTTCATCTGTACAGGGGCCTGCAGCTAAGAGTTTGCCTTCAATCTCAGAGGAGACTTTGGACTGGGACTTTTTAGCAATCCTGAAACTGTTTGCACTTTGGCAACTTTAGGAGATGCACTAAATACCTTCTGCATAAAAGGATATGCATGAGTCCTTGGTGTCCCAGGAGCAGAACATTATGGCTCATGTGGTGATAAGTGGGATTTTTCAGAGCTGGCTGGATCTAGAGTGTGTGACACTGGAATTGATTCACGGTGCAACACTAGGTAGGATCAAGGGCACTAGGGTCAAGGGTGTGAGTGCTGCCCACCCTAAGTAGTCTGGATAAGATATAGTGGACCATTGACGAGGGCTGGTTGTATATCAAGTTGGTTGCAAGTCAAGACTATTTTTTCTATAAGAAATAATGGAAAGACCCATAATACATTCTGAACCTCCCAAAGCACCCCTTAACTAATCTTTTCATAATAAAAGGATGTATAATATACATAACTTACCGGAAACACTAATAATTTTTCCTAATGTATTCACCAAAAAGTTATAAAATGTGCCTAGTTTACCAGAAGCAACAATTCCATACTGTACTCACCATTCAAGCAGACATCTTTGGCTTGCAGGAAGGGAGAGTGAAATGGAAGGTAGTTATTGTTTGAAAGGAGCTTCCCCTTCCATAAGAACATCAGGAACCTGGCTCTCTGGTGTCCTTTCTCTCCTTGGGAGAGTCTGTAGCCCACTAGGACCTGCCTCTGGCTCACAAGGTCTCAACATTTTTAGAGCTAAAAACTGATCTGAAGTTGTCTGTTTCTGTTTTTTAAAAAACAGTGTTCTGTAGTATGACATGACATTGTCATTAAGCAAGTGAATGCAATGATTGGGTTTTTCTCTGTCTGGGTGGGTTTTCTTGACAAATATTTGTAGCTCTGTTCATTTTTTCAAGATTTCCTTTATTTCAGAAGAAGAACTTTGCTGCACTGATTGTTGATTCTCTCCCTCCTCTTTAGAAAGCTTCTCAGCTGCCATTCTCTGTTGCTCAGCCAGAAGTTGCTGAAGTTCCTCTGTAGACAATTCCTCCAAGTGTTCCTTCACCAGTTCCTCAACATCACCACTGTCTATCTGCAAGCCTATGGATGCTACTATAGTGAAAATGTCATCAACCACTGGATCAAATGAAGGCTCAGGCTCCTCTACACAGCCTTCAGTCACTCTCCTATATAGTTTTAGGCCACACTTTCTTCCAGGCAGATCTAAGTGTCCTTAGAGGGACACTGGCCCAGGATTTCTCAATTCACCCCAAACAGGATATACCAGTATTTCAGTTGTAACTCAGGACTTTGGTCATAAATTAAAACTAAAATTCTGGTCAGAACCCAAGTTGTTTGGCTGGCTGTAACTTGAGGGTCCACTGTTAAGGGATAGAAAGGGCTGTGGTTGGCCCTTGTGCCTTTGCTACTTTTTGCCTGCCATTAACTGTTTCCCCTTTGTGATACCACCCTGCCTTGGAGCCAGCTGATTGTAGACTGAAACCTCTACAAACTGTGAGCTAAATAAACCTTTCCTTCCTTAACTTTGGGTGTCAGGTATTTTGCCTCAGCAATGAGAGAAAAGTAACTAAGACAGGCAGTGACATGATTTGATGCTGATGATATGTGCTATGCGTAGTGCTTTATTTAGGATTTAGCTTGAAGTTAAAGCCAACAGGACTGGCCGTGGGAGGCAGGAGGAAAGAAAGAATTTAAGTGTAACAGTTTAGATCTGAAATGTGCCCCCAACGCCTCATGTGTGCAGAGGTGTGGCTTTTGGAAGGTGATGGATTATGGTGACCATATAGCTGACATGTTACTAGGAGGTGGTGCCTGATCACAAGAGACAGGTGCCTGCCAGGGTGATTTGAAAGAGCCTGTCTGCCTTCCTTGCTCCTCCCTTCTCTTTTTGCTTCTTGGCTTCCAGGACAAGAGCAGCTCTCTTCCACCCTGGCCCGTCCACTGTGCAGTTTCTGTGTTTGAGCCTGCCAACCGGTAAGGAAACTTCTCAAACTATGAGCCAAAATAAAGCTCTCCTCCTGTAAGTTTCAGGTGTTGGGTATTTTGTTCCGGTGACTATGAAAGACACTCAGACATGTCAGTGTTATGTGAGCTGCTGGGATGGGACGGAGGCAGCTGAATTTTTGTGGATTACAAAATTTGAGCTGTTTACTATATATGAAATGGACAGCTGAAATAAAATAGTCTGGAAAACTAATGAAAAAGTTGAGGCAGAGATATAGATGCAGCCAGAGCTGAGAAGTGAGGATTAGTTCCCCTGCCTAGGTCAAATCTAAATGTTAGGGAATGTGTAAGCATCCTGTGCTTTGTCATAGAACCATTTTCTGGGGCAGTTAAAATCTTCAGATCCAATTAAGAGTTGCTTGATAAGCCTCTCTCCCAGTAGGACTGAAGCCTGCAGACAGCAGCCACTTCCTCTGTTTTGTCCACTTCACGATTCTGCTGTAGTGAGTGCTTTGGAGACATCTTCCCAGAGAACATGCCCAGCAGTGTTGCTAGCTATAAGCCTCAAGTGTTGTGAGTCACTGCTTAGAAACAGACCAGTGTGAAGGCAGGGTGGTGAGGGGAAGCAGCTCAACACAGAGGCAGTTAGTGCATTCTTAGTGGTTGGATGGAGTGGGAGGGACAGGCTATTTAAGTGGAAATTTCCAACCCCGGAAAGAGTTAGTCTCTGGCAGAAGGAAAGGAGCATGTCTGTTTCTAAATCTTGGGCACCTGTTTTTTCAATGAAGTCTTCAGAAGTGTCCCATTGCTGGGAGCACTCTGAGATATCACAAACAGTTTAAGTCATCACAGACAGAAAAATCATCATCTGAAGAGAAGTACAGCTCAATTAGAAAATGTAGATGAAAAACTGTAAATGTGCCAGTCAATGCAATTAAAGTGAATTAAAAGATGAAACTCAAGGCTGTGTATTGGATCTACTTTCTATGAATTGTGGCAATATATAATAAGAAATAGCACTGCTAATTGTTTTTGATTTGAAATCACCTTCAGGAAATGAATCTCAAGGAAATAACTCCTTATGAAGTTGGACAAATGTGTGGTAACTCTGTGTTGTAGCCAGGGCTTAGAAGCTTCCTTAGAGACCTGACTGAATGGCAGATCAACAGGTTGTGCCCTGAAAGCACAGTGCACTTATTCAGTGCCCACCACAGTGCCACAAAGCTGTGGCCAGGACTCAGCATGGGTACATAAGGAAAAGGGAGGAGGCAGAGAGCATCAGAGAGGCAGCCACTCTGGGTGCAGATGGGAATGTCAGGTGCATCGGAATGGGAGAAACTAATGGAGAAAAAAGTGCTTATTTTAATTACCAGATGTTATTTTTAGAAAGGGTAGGTAGTGAGACAAAGTACTGTGTTTAGGGTCCCATTAGTCATGTAAAGGAGGAAATGATCACATCCATTCAAAGTTAAGATCTATTGACTGAGGACATTGCTGTGACCAGGGCACTTGGGAAAGATGCCTTCTTTTAAAATTTCCTGCTGAAAATGCATATGTTAATATTCCGGACTTGACCATTACATGTAACAAAGGCCCAAGTTTTGGACAGGCAGAGAGGGCAGAACAGCTTTTATGAAATTAGACTTTATGGTGCAAAGCCAGCCATTAAAGAAACAAAGAAGGTTCAAGATCTGTTAGAAATGACATTAAAATGTCAAGCTTTGTCCTGAATAACACACACTTGATATCAGGGAAGTTCCCATCAGAAACTAGAATGTGATAGAAATAACACTTTTAAGGCAACATTAAAAGTATGTGTGAGAACAGTCTCTGCCCCTTATGGAGTTAAGCGTAGTTTTTACCTTTCCAGGTGTCTGAAAAGCCAGAGTGTTTTGTGATGCCAAAATCAGATTGAATTCCAGTTCGATCCTCCCTACACAAGATGCTCTTGGGACACAGGTATGTTCTCTTGCTATGCGACCACAGTGGCGAAGCTGTGTAGCTGTGACAGAGAACACACTGTGAAGATCAGACTGCAGGCTGTGAAACCCACTTGCCATTGCCTCTTTACAGAGAAAGTTCGCTGGCCACACATGGTATACATCGTTTTCCATAAAAGCAAAGCGCCAGATCATTACTAAAGAGAATTCTTGGCATAAATGTGAATATGAATCACTGTACCCAGGTGCCCTCCTATAATATGGTGACTCTGGAAAAAATAAAGTGATTTCTTGGGGTATGAGTGGAGTCTTCTTGATTTCTCACAAAATCACCCCAGTTTCTGCAGAAGGAAGATTTTCACATAATTGCTTTGGGTCTTTTCTACACAGTAGGCCCATGGGCATAGCAACTACAGGCTAGGAATATCAGCTAATAAACACTCAGAATGAGCTGGGCATGGTATCCATACCAGTAATGCCAACACTCTCAGAATTAGTGTATATTTAACTTGCTATTATAATATAATATGCAATATATCTTTATCATACAAACTATGTATAGGTTACTGCACTCCAGAACTTTAACATATCCTCTACCTCTGTCATCTTTTTGAAATCTGCTCCACTGGCAAAATTCAGTCTCTAATACAATGGCGTTAGTTACCTATAGGCCTCATACAGACCATTAGATCTCTAGACTTGTCCATCCTCCAAAACAGCAAACATACCCATAGACCTAAATGCCCTCATTCCCTTTCACTCTCTGCCTCTAGTAAATGCTCCTCCGCTCTTTCTGTGCATTTAACTTTTTTAAAAATATAGATTCTACATATAAGTGTGCTCACAAAGAATTTTTCTGTCTTTCCGTCCGTGTCTGGACTATTGCTTTAGCATAATAACCTCCAGGTTCACCCATAGCTCCACGATAGTATGTCACTGGGTGGTTGAGAGGGTCCCTGAAGAGGAGACGTGATCTCAGTTGGCTTCTCCACCAAACAGGTTTGTCATCTCTCATCACAGAGAAAGAATTCAGAAGGTCCCAGGGAGAGGAACAGACAGATTTATTAGGCAGACTATCCACTCAGGGAAGCATACACTCAGGGGGAAAATGGAAAATAAAATGAGGGTGCTTAGGAGAGAGATGTGCTATGGCTTGGGATTGGGGAAGGATATAAGGTCTTGGAGGTGCCCTTTGAGATGTATGGTCTAAGATGTTTTACTGAGATTACAGATGAATAGTTTTGATTCCCACCAACAGTGATCTCCACACCTTCCCAATACTTTTCTCTTTTTGATAACAGCCCACCTAACTGTTGTGAGGTTATATTTCATTGCAGTTTTCATTTTCATTTTCTGATGATTAATGATGTTGATCACAATTTCTTATACCTGTTGGCCATTACCACATCTTGGATTGGACAAACTAATATTTTTTAAATGTCCATTCTATCCAAAGTGATACACTGTTTCAAAGCAATTCCTACCAAGAATTCCAATGGCGCTTTTCACAGAAATAGAAAAAAAATCTGAAATTCATATGTAAGCAAAAGATCCCAAATAGAGAACAATCTTCAGTAAGAGAAACAAAGTTAGCAGCCTTAACTTCCTGTTTTTGAATTATATTATAAAGCTTTAGTAATCAGAATGATATGGCACTTGGATTAAAATGAATACATAGGCCAATGGAGCAAAATAGAGAGAAATAAACCCATATAGCATAGATAGTACTGACAGAAACACCAACAAGCTACAACTCAAAAGGACAGACTCTTTAGCACATGAGTTGAGAAAAGCAGATTTCTACATGCAAAAATCGGGACCCTCTTGTACATACAAAAATCAATGTAAAATGAATTAACACTCAAACTAAAACCTAAACTGTAAAACTCCTAATAGAATGTATAGGGAAAAATATCCTTGTTACTGGTACTGGTAACAATTTTTTGGACATTGTGCCAAAAGCTCACAGGACAAAAGCAAACACAGACAAATGGGATGACATCCAATAGGAAGGCATATTTAATCGTTGACTTGTGAGAAATCATTTTGTATTTTTAGAAGCTTAAATTGGTTATTTCTGAGTTTGCCAAAGCATACTTGGCAGAATAATAATTGTGTCACATACTTCATAAAACAAAATTCTAGGATTAAAAACAAAAAATATCAAATGAGACTTATAAGTGAAAGCTTTGTATACACGTGAACTCCACAGCCTTTCCTGGGGATATCTAGGAAATGTTGTTTGCCTATAAGTTTCATTTTGAGACAGACTGTGATGCAGAGACTTAAATTCAGTGTTTTCATTTTTTGACTATAGAACTCTCTGCACACCCTCTATTTTTTTGGTGGAGCATCTTTTCACTGTCCATTACAAAAAATGAAGAATTTCTTTACTTGCCACTAAACAATCATGACATCACTGTTTTTACGTCACTAAGGTTTTAAGATTTCTATTTGGTCTGGAATACTAGTTCCAGTGGGTGTTTATCTGTGGTTCTTCTTATGAAACTGGTTGGGGTCTTGCTGGCCATGTCTGCCATGGCTCCTCCATTGCTGGACCCTGTGTGTTAACGCAGCTCCCAGTGGTCTCCATAGCAAAAAGGTGGCACAGGAGTTGCTCAAGGGAGTCGAGCTTCTTG